TCAGCCTAGCTCACAGCAACCTCCAACTCCTGGGCTCAAGCGATCCTTCTGCCTCAGCCTCCCGAGTAGCTGGGACTACAGGCATGCGCCACCATGCCTGGCTAATTTTTTGTATATATGTATTAGTTGGCCAATTAATTCCTTTCTCTTTATAATAGAGACGGGGTCTCGCTCTTGGTTTCGAACTCCTGAACTCAAATAATCCACCCGCCTCGGCCTCCCAGAGAGCTGGGATTACAGGCGTGAGCCACAGCACCCGGCCGAGAAGATTCTTGTTTATTCTCACTAGTTTATTTACATTTCATGACACCCACACCATCTCTGTAAGAAAATCAATGTGAGATGTGACTCTATAGGCACAGGGTCTATAGTGCCAGAGGGTGTGGGTTGAGATTCCAGAATATAGGCTATTATATCCATGCCGTTAGTGCTGCTTTAGAACCAACGTGCTTTGTCGGAAAGTACTGTAAGGGCTGCTCCCCTTAGAGGGCCCAGGGCTTTTCTGAGCGTCATTGCTGTTTGTGGAGAGATCCGCAGAATAACCTTCTGAAGAAAGTTCTCTGTTTTAACTCAGTCATTTGGGCCTTCAGGTTGATCTGTCTGTTTCTTTTTCCTTCTACAAATGACCATCTGATTTTGATCCAGTGGGAAGCCCCTAAACGCTATGCAGATACACCTTAACTTCAACCGCTTCAAGTTGCCATCTTGAAACAAAATGGCACGCAGCACAGGTTCCCGATGGCATGATTCTGCATTCGTCCTGAGAAAGCCCGGATCATAGGTTATGGGTCCCACAGTCTGTGGGTGCCACAAGGCCTTAAACATCATGCAACAGATGGGGAAACCAGGTCACTTGCCCAAGGGCACACAAGCAAGGTGCAAAGCAAGATCAAGTCTTTATTTCCACTCAATCCTGTAGCATTTCATGTTTCTTTGTAGATGCCATGATAACACTTAAAGGAGTTGATGGCCGGGCATGGTGGTTCACACCTGTAATCCTAGCACTTTGGGAGGCTGAGGTGGAAGGATTGCTTGAGGCCAGGAGTTCAAAACCAGCCTGGGCAACATAGTAAGACCTCGTCTCTACAAAATAAAGAATAAAAAAATGATCTGGGTGTGATGGCGCGCATTCAGTTATGCAGGAGGCTAAGGCAAGATTGTTGCTTGAGCTCAAGAGTTCAAGGATACAGTGAGCTATGATGACACCACTGCACTCTAGCCTGGGTGACAGAGCCAGACTCTGTCTCTAAAAATAATAAATAAATAAATAAATAAATAAATAAATAGTTGAGAGATTATGACCACGGCTGACACAGTAGAAAGGCAAATCAAATAATTTTGGTGTTGCTTCAGTTTATCATCTTGAAAGAAAATGACAGCCAAAAAGTTTGTCAACAAAAGCCTGACTTTTTATTGGATATCAGTGATATCTGGCAAGCAGTAGAAGCTACAAAATGGATGTGTCTCATAAGAGGACAAAAGCTCAATTCTGCCACCTCAAAAATCACCCGTTGGATGTATTACTGCCAATATTCTGTTTGTATAAATTAAAAGGGTACAAGTATAGTTTTGTTGCACGGACACATTGCATAGTGGTGAAGTCCGGGCCTTCAGTGCAGCTACCATCCAAACAGTGCACACTGTGTACATTTAGCGATTTCTCATCCCCACCCTGCTCCTACCCTCCCACCCTTCCGAGTCTCCAACGACTGTTATTCCACATTCTGTGTTCACGTGTACACATTGTTTAACTCCCACAGATAAGTGAGAACGTGGTATTTCACTTTCTGTGTCTGAGTTGTTTTAATTAAGATAATGGCCTTCGGTTCCTTCCATGTTGCTGCAAAAGACATAAATTCATTCTTTTTTATGGCCGAATAGTACTCCATTGTGCATATATATCACATTTTCTTTGTCCATTCGTCTGTTGCTGTACATTTACATTGATGTAATGATTTCTTTTCCTTTGGGTAATTGTTGGATTGAATAGTAGTTCTATTTTTAGTTCTTTGGGAAATCTCCATACTGTTTTCCATAGAGGTTGTGCTAATTTATATTCTCACCAAGAGTATATAAGAGTTTTCTTTTCTTCACATCTTCGCCAACATCTGTTATTTTTTGTTTTTTTAATAATAGCCATTCTGACTGGTGTAAGATGATATCTCACTGTAGTTTTAATTTGCATGTTTTCTGATAAATAGTGATGTTGAATTTTTTTTTTTTTTTTTGTTTTTTTTTGAGACAGAGTCTCACTTTTGTTGCCCAGGCTAGAGTGAGTGCCATGGCGTCAGCCTAGCTCACAGCAACCTCAAACTCCTGGGCTCAAGCGATCCTCCTGCCTCAGCCTCCCAAGTAGCTGGGACTACAGGCATGTGCCACCATGCCCAGCTAATTTTTTGTATATATATTTTTAGTTGGTCAATTAATTTCTTTCTATTTTTAGTAGAGACGGGGTCTCGCTCAGGATGGTTTCGAACTCCCAACCTCGAGCAATCCGCCCGCCTCGGCCTCCCAGAGTGCTAGGATTACAGGCGTGAGCCACCGCGCCCGGCCTGAATATTTTTTCATATGCTTTTTGGCCATTTGTATGTCTTCCTTTGAAAAATGTCTATTTCATATCCTTTGCCCACTTTGTTTTTTATTTCAGCATATTATGGGGTTACAAATTTTAAGGTTTCAAATAATGCCCCTTTCCCCCCTCCCCCAACAAGTCTGACCTTCCAGTGTGACCATCCCCCAGGCAGTGCACATCTCACTCATTATGTATGTATATACCTGCCCCCCTCCCCCCCCACCTGCCCAATACCCAATTACTGTAGTACCTATGTGTCCACTTAGGTGCTGCTCAGTTAATATCCGTTTGCTGGTGAGTATATGTGGTGCTTGTTTTTCCATTCTTGGGATACTTCACTTAGTAGTATGGGATCCAGCTCTAACCAGGAAAATACAAGGTGTGCTATATCACCGTTGTTTCTTAGAGCTAAATAGTACTCCATGGTATACATATACCACATTTTATTAATCCACTCATGGATTGATGGGCACTTGGGTTGTTTCCGCAGCTTTGGAATTATGAATTGTGCTGCTATGAACATTCGAGTGCAGGTGTCTTTTTTGTAGAGTGTCATTGGCTCTTTTGGGTAGATGCCTAGTAATGGGATTGCTGGATCAAATGGTAGATCCACTTGTATCGCTTTAAGGTATCTCCATATTGCTTTCCAAAGAGGTTGAACTAGTTTGCAGTCCCACCAGCAGTGTAGGAGTGTTCCTCTCTCTCCGCATCCACGCCAGCATTTATTGTTTGGGGACTTTTTGATAAAGGCCATTCTCACTGGAGTTAAGTGATATCTCATTGTAGTTTTGATT